CTCACTTGCCCCGGCGCTGTCTCTATGGAGCTCCATGTACTGCAATGGCTGTGAGAGCGGGAGCCAGACATAGCCTCCTCACTCTCTCCGCTCTGTCGAATGTGGCATTTTATTAACCGAGCATCATCTGTCCTAATGCTTCTTGTTGGCAGCTGCCACCTGTCCAGCAATTCTGTCCAGATCTCTCTGTCCCTGAGGTGTCAGTTTGCGGCCCCCATCTTGGTCCTTTTCCACCATTTTTAGCCCCTCCAGGGCTTGAAGGACCCAGAAGGCCACACTCTTGGAGCCTCGGCTGAAGTGGCTTGGGATGGAAACGGTTCTTCGCCGTCCCCCATAGATCTTGGTCATGAAGCCAACCCCAGCACCACCCCGGAGTACAGGTGCCGTGCTGTGGAAGCAGGTGTGTAGAACCAGTTCTCATCGTAGGGAGTGAGTTCTTTATGCTTGGCCAGCTTGACAGTGTCCACCCATTCAGGGACTTTCAACTTTCCGGACTTTTTGAGGCAGGCTGCCAGAGCTCAGACGACCTCCTGCTGGTTCACATCTTTTACAGTAATTCCAGGCATCATGCGGCCTCCACACTGCCAGCCAGGGGAAAGGGCAGAAAGGTAGAATTTATTGAGGCAGTAGGCATTGATTTTATTCCTAATAGAGAAAAAAAAAATTAGCAGTTAAGTTTTTTTTTTTGTTTTAAATGCATGGGGGAGGGAGCTGTCAGGTGGTATGGTGGTTAAAGCTGCTAGACTCCCACATGGCTGACCGTGGTTCGAGTCCTGAACCTGGTGGCTTGCTTTCCCTCTCTCTGTCTCTCTCTGATCAAATTCAATAAGAAGAAGAAGAAGAAGAAGAAAGAAAGAAAATGATTCTTTTAAAAAATGCATAGGAGGGACCAGCAGTTGGCATAATGGCTATGTCACTGGACTCCCATGTAGTTGACCACAGTTCAAGTCCCGGACCCGGTGGCTTAAACTCACACTGGGCGCATGTGCGTGCGTGCCCAAGATCACGAGAGGAGAATGAAGGAGAAGAGATTGGGAATGGCTACCCTTCCTGGGGGGTGATTTCTCGCTTTCTGTCTCTCTGTCTCTCTCTGTCTCTCTGGCGGGCGCATGTGCCCTATAACAAAAACCTCTCAAAAATAAAATAAAATTAAAAAATAAACCACTGGTGGTGTAGTGGTTGGGGCAACCAGATCCTGCATGGCTGACTGAGCAGACTGAGTCCCGGACCCAGCAGCTTGAAAATCACACTGAGTGTGTACACATCTCCCAAGAGGAGAATGGAGGAGAAGGGAGGTGAGATGGCCATGCACCCTAGAGAGTGCTTTCTCACTTTCTCGCTCTCTCTTTCTCTCTGGCAAGCACACACGTATTACAGCAAAAACTAAAAAAGCAAAATGAGGATAATCATGAAGCAAGGAGGGAAATGCTTCATCAGAATGGGTTAGGGATATTTATTGGTATTAGTAGTGCAGGGGCATATGTACACAAACATTCATGGGACCAGCAGTTAGCGTAATGGCTACGTCACTGGACTCCCACGTAGTCGACCGCAGTTCACATCCCGGACCCGGTGGCTTAAAACTCACGCCAGGCGCGTGTGCGTGCGTGCCCAAGATCCCGAGAGGAGAACGGAGGAGAAGGGATTGCAGCATGGCCATCCCCCAGGGGGTGATTTCTTGCTTTCTGTCTCTCTGTCTCTCTGTGTCTGTCTGGCAAGTGCACGTGCCCTATAGCAAAAGCCTCTTAAAAAAA